AAAAAAAAAAAAAAAAAAAAAAAAAAAAAACAGTCACCGTAAGTTTCATAACGGAATAAAATAAAATAAAAAATTAAATCATAGAACTGAACAAAAACAGCCATAACCGAACAAAACCAGCCATAATGAATGAGCGTCAACACTGCACGCAAAAACCTTAAACTAGGCTTAGGGCACCTGATGGGTTTTTTTTTTTTTTTTTCACTTTATTATTATTATTATTTTTTTTACATTAAACTTTAAACCACCAGTACATCTGAAAAAGGAGATTGAGCCTCTCCTAAGAAATAGGAGGCCGTGAACCGCCAATTCATTTTATTGACAGTCCACAGCCTCTGAAGTTTTAGGAGAGGCTCAATCTCCTTTTTTTGGGATGTACTGGTGGTTTTTTTTTAAGCACTTGATAATAGTGAGCTGAGGCAAAGAAACATACACCATGGCAAAGAATCAACTCAGGACCGAACGGACAATACGCTAGAGGTGAACAAGAAGAAGAAAAAAAGATCGGAATGGAGTTCAATGGACAATAACAGTAAACTCCAATAAGGTTATGGGAACAATGACACATACGTACTCTCTCTCTCTCTCTCTCTCTCTCTCTCTCTCTCTCTCTCTCTCTCTCTCTCTCTCTCTCTCTCTCTTTCTGTGTGTGTGTGTGTGTGTGTGTGTGTGTGTGTGTGTGTGTGTGTGCACGCACACACATTTGTGCATGTGAGATGATTCATTGAAATTACATGCATCGTGGGGAGGACGTAAGCACTCTCTCTCTCTCTCTCTCTCTCTCTCTCTCTCTCTCTCTCTCTCTCTCTCTCTCTCTCTCTCTCTCTCTCTCTCTCTCTCTCTTCTCTGTGGCTCCTCCACTGTGCACTGACCACCTACCTACCTGTTTAAGAAGCACATCCCCAATGCCTAGCACACACATCAGCGTAGGCGCACTTTTATCAACAGTGACACATTTCAAGCAAGTTGTCAAGACCTCCATCACTCCTGGCTTGTCCATCCGCGGAATAAGCTCGCCTAAACAGACGAGGGCATGCACCCGAACCTGGACACAGTACACCAAAAGAAATGATGCAAATTTGTCAAACTCATGAGCTTCAGTTCCGTCACTCATAAAGCTTATATCATCAACTCAGCTCCTATCAGCACCCCTTGTACACGCTCCTGTTGTTCTCTTCAAATTCCAAAAAAAAAGGGGCAAATGCTAGGCTACCATGTTAACCCGAAAAAAAAACGCACGACGTTCTATATTCAACTTACCTCAGAAAAATGGTTTCTCCAGAATCGCTGATTTTTTTTTTTTCAATAGAGCGTACGGTCATAAGTATGTTGTATTCAAGTTTTCAAAAAATTCAGAAAAAAAAAAAAAGGAAGTTGTACAACATTGCAATACAAGCAGCTTTTGCCTGAGAGGTAAATTCACAACGGAATTCGAGAAAAAGTTTGAAGAACATAAAAACAAGAGTAAAAATAATAAATATTAAATATCTTTTGAGGACACTTTGCAGTTTTTTAAACTTTTTCTAATATCTTAAGAATGTTTTTTTAAAATTAAAAAAAAACGAAAAAAAAAACTATGTTGTTTGAAAAATTGAACAAAAAAGCAAAAAGACAAAACTTCACAAAAGACGTTAGACCGCCCCTTGCAGTACACCTCAACTCCCCCAGGTAAAACACAGCTGGGGTGGGCGGCAAGCTGGTGCTCCTGATTGGAGACCAGTCAACAAATGCCCTTGGGGGGGGGGGG